AGGGGAACTCCAGTAGGAGCCTGGGGCACTTTGTGTGTGTGTGTGTGTGTGTGTGTGTGTGTGTGTGTGTGTGTGTGGTGCTGGGGATAAAACTCAGGGCCTCATGCATTCTAGGCAAACCCTCTACCACTGAGATATATCCTTCCTTTTTTATTTTTTATTTTTTATTTTTTGGTACAGGGATCAAACTGGGGACCTTGCACTTGCAAGGCAGGCGGTGGCACCACTGAGCTAAATCTCCGGCCCTATTCTTCCTTCCTTCCTTCCTTTCTTTTTTTTTTTTTTTGAGACAGGGTCTCACTATATAGCCCAGGCTGGCCTTGATCTCATGGAGATTCTTCTGCCTTAGGCCACCATACCTGGGTTTGTTTTTGTTTTTTTGAGATAGGGTCTCACTGTTAACCCAGGTTTGCCTTGAACTTACAACTCCCCTGCCCCAGCCTCCTAAGTAGCTGGGATAAGTATGTGCCTATATCTGCTAGCCATGGGATCCCCTTAGGGGAGGATTAACTTCCCCCTTGGAAGTTTCCATCTGAGCTGCTCTTGAGAGCTTGGTGACTTTGATAAAAGGCCCTTAAGGCAGAAAAATGGCAACTAGTGAGGTGTCAGCAGCTTGAGGTGAGACCCAGTGCCCATGGGAACTGTCCACTGAAGCTGCAGCAGATATCCAGATGGGCCAAGGGCAGACACCATGGGACACAAAAGGCACCTTCTGCAGAGGGTCACTCAGGTTGGGGACTGAATGGGTGCTGCAAGCAGAACAAATTCAGGAAATGGTGTTGGAAAAGTAGGCTGGGGTCAGGAGATCCACTGTGAAGAGAGAGATATGTCAGGCTACAAAGTTTAAGTTTAATTTGCCTGGCCCTGGCACCTCAGAGGTGCTCAACAAATATTTACTGAATGAATGAATGAATGAATGACAGATGCACATGGGCCACACCCAGCAAAGCTGCTGGCTTTTAGAATCCAGCAGACTCGCTGTGTGACCTCTAACCTCTTTGGCCTTCCATTTCTCTTTCTGAAGTGGCAACCTTCTTTATGCATTCTAGTGAGGAATTAGATGAGATCAAAGACATGTGACAACTAGAAATGTGGACTCCATAAATGTCAGCCACCCTGCTCTGTCCTCATGATAACCCGAAACCAAGTAATAAAGCTGAACTATCCACCAGCTGGAGACAATGAAGGCTGCTCCTGGGATCTGTTTACAGAAGATGTATGCTAGCAGTTCCAGCTATATTGGTCCTGCTGGGAAAAATTAGTGGTTTTGGTAACAACTTCCTTGGGCCAAAGGGGAATCATACCACTGCTTTAATTAAAGGACAGAGTTGAAATGACCCTCCCAGGGAACTTACACATTGAGAAATGGATGATCATAGTAACTTATAATTTTCTTTTTCTTTGTGCATTTAAATATACATACTGAAAGATCTTCCGATCAATAGGCTATAGACTAGAGCCATCCATCACTGCTGGGCTGCGTTTTCTCTCCCCTTCTGAAATCTCAACAGAGGCCATGATGCCTGCAGACTACATTTGATGGACACACTGGCTGGTTATAGGCACTGGGGGCTCCTCAGTCCTTCCTGGTAGAGGAGGTTATGGTGGCCTCTGGGGCTTCAAAGTATGGAGCCAAGGAGGGAGAGAAAGCAGACTGGGGAACTAGGTGAAGGACTGAGAAATCACTCAAACTGGGGAATACTCAATTAATGTCATTTTAAAATTTATTTTGGATTGCTTCTCGGCCTTTTGGCTAAGATCAAGTGTAGTAAAATTTATTTTGGGATTTTTGTTCTTTTTTTTTTTTTTTTGAGACGGGGTCTTGCTATGTAGTTCAGACTGGCCTTGAACTCACTATGTAGTTTAGGCTGGCCTCAAACTCCTGGTGATCCTCATGCCTCAGCCTCCTGGGTGCTGGGACTACAAGCATGTGCTACCACGCCCTACTTCAGTTAGTGTATTTTAAAACATATCTATTTCCCTACAGCAGTCTGGCATAAAGACAAACACTGTGATGATTCATCCAGTGGAACACTAAGTTATAAAAAAACAAGAAAAAGAAAATGAAGAAGGGATAGTAGTAAAATGAGTAATTATAGACAGGCAAGATAGGAATTCCAGAGTCAAAAAGCCTCTGGGGGAAGTACATCTGCCCTAGTTCTGAATGTATAGCAGGATTGGCAAGGTGGGGGATGCATTCATCTTTTTGTTCATTCATTCATACCTTCATTCACTTTTTCCTTCAACAGTTTTCAATCATCTCTATGACACTCTTTCCAAGAAGCAGCATAGAGTGGAAAGACATAATCCCTGTCCTTGCACGGTTCTTAGAGGAAACAAAAGGTGTCACTAATAACTATAATAAAGTGGAAGGAAGGCAAACAATGAAAGACAAGCAAGGATACAAACAAGAGGTGATACAAACAAGAAGGGGAGGAGCCGGAAAAGTCATCTCACCAGCGGAGGTCCCCAGGCTGCATGGAGCTTTGTATGTGTGCAGGGGGAAAACAGGAGTTCCAAGACGAAAAGGCACACAGAAAACAAGCTAGGAGCTGGGCATGGTGGTGCATGCTTGTAATCCCAGGACTCTGGAGGCTGAGACAGGAGAATCATTTGGAGTTCCACAGACCAGCCTGGCCTCCATAATGAAATCAAGGCCACCCTGAACTGCAAAGTGAGACCCTGTTTCAAATAACTAAAAAAAAAAAAAAAAAAAAAAGCTAGGTCCTTGGAGACAGCATTAAGTTAATAAGGCCGAAATATAGGAGGAAGGCAAATAGCTGGATAGAGACCAGACCAGCTAGGGCTCCTGTGTCACGCAAGGAAGTCTGTAAGAGTTTTGAGCCAAAGAATTGGCAATAGTTCAGAAGAAATGTCTTTCTTTTATCCTGGCGTGAATTGAAGGTGACTGCAAAGTGTAGAGGATGGTTTGTGTCAATGGCTCAGATGACAGGTGAGTGGCAGGTCTCTGGAGTTTAGCTCCAGTCCCCAAAGGGCAAAGGGAAGAGAGAAATTCCAGCTACCAAATCACTTCCCCTCTTAAGAGTGTCAATTTCCTCATCTTTGAAGAAACTCTCTCCCAGCAAGCAGGAGACAATTCATCAGGGGCCCTTGGCAGGCAGGCGGTGACCTCAGGCAGCACCTTGGCAAGGAGGAAAGGAAGGAAAAGAGCAGCGCAGTCAGGTGAAGGGGCGGACGAAGCTGGAGACCCAGCCAGCCTCCCACGCACCTCTTCCCAGCTCCCAGTTTCCCTTCCTCCCTAGGGGAAGCTATAAAATGAGGTGGAGTGAAGGGTGCTCTGCTAGGTCTAGGCCCCTGCACTCACGCACGGTTTAATTCAGTGTCACGGGAATGGCCTCAGCTTTTAAGTCACCTGAGCTCCCCAGAGCCACATGGAAGCGGCACCCTTGCCTACTTCTCAAAAAAACTCTAGTGAGCAGAGGAGAGAACGTTTAGAGGAACTGAGAAACCAAAGTTTTATCCCCAGCTTTGGATGAAACTGCTGTCTCTTGATAAATTCCTGCGCAGGGCAACGCTGCAGATCCGCAGCCTGCGGAACTTCGACACCTGCCCTCGCCGCCGCGCCTCACGCCTTTCTCGCACCGTTTCCTCGTCGCTTCTGGACACCTGCCCTGATTGGGCAGGCGAGGCTGCGGGGAGACGGGCGGCGGGAGACTGGCTCGCGGCCCAGGGCGCCCCCGCGTGCTCGCTGGCTCGCTCGCTCACCCTGACTCCCCCCGGCCGCGCGGCCCCGCGCTTGGGTGCAGTGAGGGGGCGCGGACCGCGCGCCCCGGCGGGAGCTGCGCAGTAACCCGGGCAGGGAAGACGCGAACTGGCCCTTCTGCTGCAGGCGCCGGATATCGCCGGCGCCTCTGAGGGGCAGGACCGCGGGCCCTCCACTCGGTGACCCTCGCCAGACCCCCTGCACAGCTCCCCCAGCGCGCTCGCGGGCCCTGGCCAGGCCCCACCGAGGCTCCGCCCCCGCCGCGGCTCGCAGGAGCCAGAGCCCGCGGGGCGCCCGGCCCCGCTGCTGGGCTGCAGACCTCGGGCTCCGAGCCCGCCTCCGCCGCGGGCGGCTGGTTGCTTACGTCAGGGAGGCGAAACCCATAAGAAAAAAGAAAAAAGCACCAAGGCGGAAGGGAAAAAACTTTATTTTTTACCCTCTTTTTCTCATCGGCGCTGAAGCGACGGACTGGTGACTGCGCCGGCGCAGGCTTCCCGGAGCGGGCCCGGCAACACCACTCGGCGGCGGCGCGGAGAAGCCCGGCCCGGGGTAGCCCGACTGGACGCCCAGCATGTGGGACCCAGAGGAGTTCGAGCGCCACTGGCAGGCCGAGTTCCCCGGAGAGCAGGCTCCAGTCATGAGGCTGGAGTCGGTGCTGGACATGGAGCGCGAGCTGGAGCGCTGCAAACTTAACCTAAAGCGGCTGCAACAAGTGTTGGCCGAAGAGAAGTTCAAAGTCTCGTACCTGGAGACCGCCCTGGCCGGAGAGAAGCTGGACCAAGGCCGCGGGCGCGCGGAGGGCGGAGACGGCGGCAGCGGGGGACCCTCGGAGGAGGATCCTGTCCCCGCCGGCCAGAAGGAGGGCTCAGCGGGCGGCAGCGGAGACGGCCCGGATCCCGAGCGCCCCGACCGGGAGGTGGCGGGGAAGGCCGAGCAGAACCCCTACTTGTGCCTGGACCTTCCCCCTGGGCCCCGAGTGGCGGAGGGAGGGGGCGCGGTGCTCAGCTTGACGGCCGTCATCCACCAGCAGCTGCTGCAACCTCGCCTCCTCTTCAGGCCCGGGGAGGACTGCGCGACCCCCAGCCGCGAGGGCCCTGTTTCCCACGCGCCGGGAAAAGAGCGATCCTTGGGGACCCGGGAGGGCCGGGGCTCGGAAGAGGGCGAGCCAAATGCCTCCGGTGCGGACGATGGGGGCGACAGCAGTGACCACGACTTCGAGATGGTGGATTTGAACGAGAAATTCGTCCTTAACCACTTGGTGGTGGCCCCCTATCGGTTTGGGGCCCGTGATGAGGCGGAGAAGCCGGCGCGGGCATCCAGCCCCCACCGCTGGATGCATCTGATACCCGGGTGCCGGCGGCAGCGGCACCCGAGCCGAGACCTAGAGCTGGAGGTGGAGACCAAGGAAGGTCGGGCCTCCCTCCTGCCTGAGGATGAGCCCCCCAGGCGCGGGGCCCGCGAGCACTTTCCCTATTGGGGGCGCAAGAGGTTCCTGCGTGTGCCAGAGCGGGACTCGCCCAGTCACAGCTCTCCAGAGAGAGGCAGCGACTGCAGCCGCAACAGTTCAGACCACGAGGACGGCTCCTCTGCAGGTAGGCGCATCTGTCCCTCTAGATCCCCGCCCCACGCATCCTTCCGGGTGCTAGCACCCCTTCCGGGCAGACCTTGGTGGTCCTGTTTAACCTCAAGCACCTGGGAAGAAGGGAGATGAGCTCTGCCTCTACTTTAAAGCCACTTGTGGAACTTTAAAAAGAGAGTAAGATTGAATCTTGGGCTTGGGCAAGCCCTTGACAATAAGCATGATCGCGATGAGGGGGTGATGGAATGGGGTGCCTGGCCAGACCGAGGGAGAAACCTCTTACGTCCAGCCTCAGCCTTTCTGCTCTGACTATTGCAACTCACATCCCACCCCCACCCTCAGCGCTTCCTCGGGTTTGTCAGATTTCTTTGTACCGCCCTGATGGCCTCTTGTGCATTAAACTCCAGTGACTCTCCTTTTCCCCCAGATTCCTTGGCACAGAAGACTAAATCTTCCATTTTCTTTTCTAAACTTACCTTGACCCCAGAGGGACCCCCTTTTGCAATTTGATAGCCCAGGGGTGGTGCTGGATTCTAATTTGCATCAAGCTGCCCTCTGTGCTAGAGTGTCCTTGGGGAGGGGAGACCGCTCACAGAAAAATCACTCCCAGGGGAAAATGCAGAACACTGGGCACCACCCTGCATCTGGTGCTGGAACCAGACTTGCTGAGGAAAGGGTACATGATGCTCACTACGTCTCCTTGGCTCACTCTTCTTTCCTAGAAGACCACTCTGGGTCTGTGAGCTTCCAAGGAGCCTGGAAGCCTGAGAGAAAGGGAAAGGCTTAGGATCACAGTTTTCAGCTGGCCTGGTGCCCTGAAGTCCTGTCTAGTCTAGCACCTTCACTCGATAAAGGAGGACACTGAAGTCCAGAAAGATTAAATGCTTGTCCAGGTGAGCTGAGGCTTCTTTCATCTGTTTGCCTCCATATCTTCCCTCTTTGCTGAGGACAGGGCCTGGTCCTAGCATCTTTGAATCCCCTTATGGTGGTCAGCA